AGAATGGCTTTTTCTGAGAGAGTTGGATGTGAATCCTCGACGAACCCTAAAACCTGACAAATGTGTTGTAACACTGGAGATGTCATGACCGTTCTGAACCCAGTTTTAGTTGCTTCTGCACCTCCTCAGATGTTTTCTCTGCGTGGTCGGACCCTTCTCACACAGACTAACATCTTCTCCACCACCAGATGTGTCGTTCCTCATGGCTGTTTAAGACATGAGGAGTAAACCATGAACCAGTTGGGTTAAATGACTCGTTACAGCTGAAAGATGATCGCCCTGCAGAATTGTCCAATAATGCTCGGGTAAACGGAGGTGGAGACTTTTTTGGGCCGGTGTTCAAAGTAAAAACAAAAAGTACATGTTTAAATATTTGTGCAATAAGGTTAAGGTCCCACAGTAGTCATCACATATTGGTGAGATTCATCTCCACATGTGACCCATCCCGGTGGGGAACAGTGAGCTGCAGCAGCGGCTGCGCTCGGGAACCATCTGGTAGTCCAACCCCCGATCTGACCCCTCAAAGCGGAGCGTCAAGCAGGGCGGCACCGAGTCCCATTTTTAAGGTCTTTGGTACGACCCGACCGGGAAAAGGGCAGCTGCAGCTAAAGACCTAGCTCCTCCCCGCCTCTACCTTGGCCTGGTGTTAGGTATTTTTAACGTATTACTGTCTTAAATGTTCCTTTTTAAGTAATCATATGTTAATAAGTAAGCCACAGAGGGCTTTCTCCTTTCCTCATAGCTGTGGTATGCGGCCTGATAAGCATGGGGGTTGGTGAAGTAGCCTGCCTAACAGGTATCCATGGTTACCGAGTTTCTGGCTGTCAGTCATAAATTAAGACTTCCTTTAAGGAATGCTCTGCTTGGCAACACGGAAGCTAGCAGCCGCCCCTGTGACTTGAGACTTCCTTTTTAGAAGGTCCCGCCATAGATAGAAGTAACAGTGTTGTTGGTTAAGTGTGGACAGTGATGGATTGTTCTTTGTCCTCGTCTGCCTGTGTTTCAATAAAACCAGCTGAAGAGAGAGAACGCACCAGAGTTGATTGGAACAGGGCCTAAACCGGTTCTGAGCTAGTCTCTCTCTCCGCTACCTCTATCCGCAGCGTAAAAAAACCTACTGACTTCTCTCCTGAGTGTGGTTCATTTCAGGGTTCAATCCCAGGATATAAAAATACCCAACACCTGGGAACAACAACGGCTGTTGGCCAGCTGACCTAAGAGGTGAACTGTGTGTCAGGAGAAAGTCTGAGAGGTGTGCGTCTGACCTGTTCTCATCTGCAGAGCAGCTGATGAGCCAAAGTATACGTGATAGGGACTTCGGTGGCGTTGGAGCTGTGCTGCTTCCTGTCTGTAACGAATGTCCTGGAGGCCTTAGAGCTCCCGTGTGTCTCGGTGACCAGCAGCTAATAGAATTAACTCTGAAGTGTGGCCTTCAGGGACCATTGGACAGGGAGGAACTCTCTCTAGGGAGGCTCCAGCAGAGTCGCCCGTTGTTTTCTTTCCATGTGCACATCGCCATCTTTGGATGTTAGACGGACTGACCTTGAATCCACACCCTGATAGGTGATGTTCATGAGGACATCTGTCCAGGAACATGGGACACAAAAATGTTTCAACCGAAGTTTCTACAGTTTGAACTGAATTTGAACCAAACAGATGTGGGAAGGACCCGCCTCTTGTGGATGAGCTGGTGTTGTGGGGGAAGGGTCACCTTCCTGATCCTCAGGTCTTCCGACTCTGGCCTTCAGCTGTGGATGCTGTGATATTCCTCACCAGGAAGTAGAAGCTGACCATTGTTTGAGAGTGAGATGTGTTCCTGCAGATCCCTGGAGGTCTCTTATTGTCTGAACTCTGATAAACATGTATCACTGATCTTCTCCTGGAGGACTAATTACACCAGGAATCATCACTGTTTGTTCGTGAGCTCCTCTCAGTGGAGCTCACTAATGATCACCTCTGCTTCGACAGCATAAACACCCATTACAGCTTAGCCAGCAGGGACCATCACGGATGAAACTGAGGGACCATCCTGGAATGCACTGGCCCCTGAGCTCCCAGCATGCAACAGTTTCTACAACAAGTTTTAAAACAAGTTTTAAAACAAAGTTGTCCTGGGCAAGGCCGGATTAACCATATGGGCAACTGGGCAATTGCCCAGGGCCCACGAACTCTAAAGGGCCTAGGGCAGCAAGGGCACGAGCAAAATACTGTATCTGTAATTTCCCGCTTTATGAGGACTATGGTGACCATATGTCCCGTTTTCCCCGGACATGTCCACTTTTCACTCTCTGTCCGGGGCGTCCGGACTGGGGGGTTCTTGTATTGATGAAAATGTCCGGCTTTTGCAGGAGCAGGGATCGAATTATGGGGGTTCTGTATATCCTACGCATCCAGGTGAGCCGGAAAAAAGTTTTATACCTATATTACATCATTTATGGACTCGTTTGAGCAGAGAGCACAGAGAGCGGCACAGCGCGTTGTTGCGCAGCGATCCAGGCTGCTGCGTCCAGCGCACGGTCCATTCTCAAAGTGGCGCAACCAAAAAAACTATAATTAACACACGATCGTTCATGTCTGCACATGTTCTCTACTTTCTGTCTTATTTGTGCCTGAAGCGCTCTGCTACTGCGGAGCTCATCACCTGTGCTGCGGTGATTTCACCTCACTGACGCATCGAAACGCGCTCTCCGCTTTGCGGTCAGGAGATCCCTTTGATCTGCTCAAAAGTAACTGATGAGGTGAAAAAGTAAGAATCCAGGCAGCAGATTTTCTGGAGAGTTTAGAGGAGATGCAGGAAGATGAGAGACAGACAGGTCCTGACGAAGGACCCGGGTCCTTCATCAGGATCCGGGTCCTTCGTCAGGATCCGGGTCCTTCGTCAGGAGCCTGGTCCTTCATCAGGAGCCTGGTCCTTCATCAGGACCCGGGTCCTTCATCAGGAGCCTGGTCCTTCATCAGGACCCGGGTCCTTCATCAGGATCCGGGTCCTTCATCAGGATCCGGGTCCTTCATCAGGAGCCGGGTCCTTCATCAGGAGCCTGGTCCTTCATCAGGATCCGGGTCCTTCATCAGGATCCGGGTCCTTCGTCAGGAGCCTGGTCCTTCATCAGGACTCGGGTCCTTCGTCAGGAGCCTGGTCCTTCATCAGGACCCGGGTCCTTCGTCAGGAGCCTGGTCCTTCATCAGGATCCGGGTCCTTCATCAGGAGCCTGGTCCTTCATCAGGAGCCGGGTCCTTCATCAGGATCCGGGTCCTTCATCAGGATCCGGGTCCTTCATCAGGATCCGGGTCCTTCATCAGGAGCCGGGTCCTTCATCAGGAGCCTGGTCCTTCATCAGGCGTGGATCATAACTGCTGCAGCTGTGGCAGCAGAGCTGTGCTGAGTCAGGGTTCTGCATAAAGTCTTGTAAAGGAGTTGTGATCTGCTGATCTGTTCGTACGACCTGTCGTCTCTGGAGAACTAGATGTTCCAGTCAGGAACGTGTCTCTGGTCTGGGGGGACATTAACACCATCAGTGTGACTGGCTGAGCTGCAGGGAGCAAACAACAGAAGTAAAACCAAGTCATGTTTGTTGGTCAGACTCTGACTTTATTCATGATTCCTGCAGTTGGACCGTAGAGACGGACAGAACCTCTTGGTCTAGAACCTGGACTCTGAAACACCTCCAGCATCCCCAGACCCTGGTGTCCCAGAACAGTTTAGCTTTTCTATTATTTAATTCATTTAATTACAAATCTGGCTTGATGAATCAGCTGATTGCTGCTCGTGGTTTTAACCTGATGAAGATGTGTTTGGAGATCGGAGTGCCTCCTGTCAGGAACCAAACCGGGTCTTTAAAGCCGGTGGACACTGTGACTTTTTCACTCGACGCGTTCAGCTTCAGCTCAAGCCGTTCGACTCCCCACAGAGCAGATCTCACGAGTAACATGCTGCAGATAGCAGTTTTACAGAACATGCTGGACTTGTTTGTGTTGTTGACGTCTGTAGCCCTTCGGGGTGCTGCAGGTGGGTTTTACTAGATTCAGTTAACACTTTCTGGACCATCTTTGTCATCGTGTGACAAAGTGTCCAAATAAAACAACGATGTGTTGAGAGGGAACCAGCTGGAGAGCTGAGAGCGGTTCTGGTGCGTTTTGGGTCACAGCACCGCTTCAACAGTGCGATAACTTCACAATGGCTCATCGGTAGCTGGTCTGGTGTTAATGGCCTCTCGTACCACCCCCACCACCATCACCACCACCACCACCACGCTCAGTGCTAAACGCTCCCCGATCTTGTAGATTCTCACACGAGGAGTAAATCGCCTCTGAAAAGTGAAAAAGTGGCACAGTGTCCGCCGGCGTAACTCAGGGCTAAGTCCAGGTCAACTGCACAGTTGGAGCTCAGAGCTCCATCAGGCGGCTTTTCCTAGGATCAGGATGCTCATGAAGAAGAACATGATGAAGAAGAGCCACATGAAGAAGCGATCCATCACCTTGGCCATCTTCCTCCATTCTCCGATTTGGACCTGCGCTGCTCGCTGGTCCTGATACGAGCTGGAGATCAACTGGATGTTCTTCTGCAGCTGTTGGTGCTGGCACACACACTGGCTTCTGACCAAGACCTCCTTGTTGCTCTGCATGTCTCCACCCCCTACACCCTTCTTGTGCTCCACATGCTCTCCTCCTGAGCTACCAACATTTGACATCTCCACCTCCCCTCGTTCTCCAGCAGCTTCTTTCTCTTCAGAGTGGTTGATGGTGACAAGATCCTCCTTCAGGTCCTTCTCCACTCTCGCAGAGTCCCCCACCCCATCTTCAGCCACCTTTCCCCACCCCATTTGTCCTCTCCTGTCCCAGGATGGGGGACCACCAGATTCCTCCAGGGACAGAGGCTGTTTCTTGGGAGCGGCTCCTTTGAGGAAGCCCTCGCCGACATCACCGAGGAAACACATTCTGGCCAGGAAGTTCAGGACCAAGCGATGGGCCCACCGGGGGACTGGACGGGCCTCGGGACCACAGTGATGGATGTTCATGATGAAGATGGTGAGCGCTGTTGATGTGGTAACCATTGTCATCGTGGCGATGTAGTATTTACCTGTCGAACACACAGATGCCCAGGGTTAACCATGCTAACCTGGTTAGTTTCTGTTATTAACCAGAACCCTGCCACCTATTGGTTAAGTCAGTGGTTCTGGAGAGACGTCAGCCCCACATGGCCGATCCCACCTCTCTACCTGCAGAAGGGAGCTCCAGGTAGCAGTCCTCTTTCAGGGGCTTTAGCTCATGGAAAGCTTCAGTTACTGTTTAAAAGTTCTCAACACAAGTAACAGATAAATGAAGACAGTCTCGCCCCTCTCCCTGAGTCCTGTCTGGCTGTGAAGCAACCAGAACTGAGTCAGAGTAACGAGAACAAGCCTCAGGTCTACTCTAGAGTGTGGACAACATCAGGACTTTTTCATGTGGGATGTGGGAGGGGCATAAACAGGTAGGTTACCTTCTCAGTGGCCCAGTGGTAGAGCATCCACCCTGGGACGTGGACACCCTCGGGTCATACCAAAGACTAACAATGGGACCCAATGCCTCCCAGTTTGGCACTCCGCTTTAGGGGGTTGGAGTGGGGGGGATAGACCACCGGATCGTTCCTGAGCCCAGCTTTCGCTGCAGCTCACCACTCCCCACGGAGATGGGTCAGATGTGGAGATGTGTGAGGACTAATGGAACTCTAACTTTAACTTCATCCTCCACCTGACATCTAAACGTTATTAGAGATGCTTTTGGTTGTTTTTAATCCCAAAGGACACAGAGACGAAGAAGGAAGAGACGGGGAGAGTTCACAAATATAAATGATGAAGGATGAACAAGAAGCAGCTTCTAGATCTGCAGAAAGGGAGAGACACAAACCCAACAGAACCAGAACTAACAGTCAGTTCTGATGGTTTGTTGTGTTTTTGTCATCCAGACTTTGTTCTAGTTGTTCTCTCATCCTCTCTCTGAATCATGTAGACACTGTTTGTTCGTGAGTTACACAAGCACTCACTTATTTCGGGTGTTATAACAGTTATACCGTACACACGTGTTGTTATAACAGTTATACCGTACACACGTGTTGTTATAACAGTTATATCGTACACACGTGTTGTTATAACAGTTATACCATACATATGTGTTGTTATAACAGTTATACCGTACACACGTGTTGTTATAACAGTTATATCGTACACACGTGTTGTTATAACAGTTATACCGTACACACGTGTTGTTATAACAGTTATATCGTACACACGTGTTGTTTTAACAGTTATACCGTACACACGTGTTGTTATAACAGTTATACCGTACATATGTGTTGTTATAACAGTTATACCGTACACACGTGTTGTTTTAACAGTTATACCGTACACACGTGTTGTTATAACAGTTATACCGTACACACGTGTTGTTATAACAGTTATATCGTACACACGTGTTGTTATAACAGTTATACCGTACACACGTGTTGTTATAACAGTTATAGCATACACACGTGTTGTTATAACAGTTATATCGTACACACGTGTTGTTATAACAGTTATACCGTACACACGTGTTGTTATAACAGTTATAGCGTACACACGTGTTGTTATAACAGTTATACCGTACACACGTGTTGTTATCTCCTCCTTGAACCGTCACCTTATCGTGGTGGAGGAGTTTGAGTGCCCTAATGATCCTAGGAGCTATGTTGTCTGGGGCACTTAGTGCCCCTGGTAGGGTCTCCCATGACAAATTGGTCTTAGGTGAAGGGTGAGACAAAGAACGGTTCGAAGGATCTTTCATGGCGGTTAAAACGAAGAGTCGGAGTACCCGGCCCGGAGGGTTACCGGGGTCCCACCCTGGAGCCAGGCCTGGGGTTGGGGCCCGTGAGCGAGCGCCTGGTGGCCGGGCTTTCGCCCATGGGGGCCGGCCGGGCCCAGCCCGAACCGGATACATGGGCTCGTCCAACTGTGGACCCACCACCCGCAGGAGGAACATGAAGGGTCCGGTGCAATGCGAATCGGGTGGCAGACCAAGGCGGGAGCCTTGGCGGTCCAATCCCCGGACAAGAAAACTAGTTTTTGGGACATGGAACGTCACCTCGCTGGCGGGGAAGGAGCCGGAGCTTGTGGCAGAGGTTGAGCGGTACCGGCTAGATGTAGTCGGACTCACCTCGACACATTGCATTGGCTCTGGAACCCGAGACCTGGAGAGGGGTTGGACACTCTACTTTGCTGGAGTTGCTCCGGGTGAGAGGCGGAGGGCTGGGGTTGGCTTTTTGTTAGCCCCGAGACTCTCTGCCTGTGTGTTGGGGTTTACCCCAGGGGACAAGAGGGTAGCTTCCTTGCGCCTTCGGGTCGGGGAACGGGTCCTGACTGTTGTTTGTGCTTATGGGCCAAATATCAGTTCAGAGTACCCACCCTTTTTGGAGTCCCTGGGACGAGTGCTAGATAGTGCTCCATCAGGGGACTCCATTGTCCTGCTGGGGGACTTCAATGCTCACGTGGGCAATGACAGCTTGACCTGGAGGGGTGTGATTGGGAGGAACGGCCCACCTAATCTGAACTCGAGCGGTGTTTTGTTATTGGACTTCTGTGCAAGCCGCAGTTTGGCCATAACGAACACCATGTTCGAACATAAGGATGCCCACCGGTACACTTGGTACCAGGGCAGCCTAGGTCACAGGTCGATGATAGATTTTGTAGTCGTATCATCTGACCTGCGGCCGTATGTTTTGGACACCCGAGTGAAGAGAGGGGCGGAGCTGTCAACTGATCACCACCTGGTGGTGAGTTGGATCAGATGGCAAGGGAACATGCCACGTAGACCTGGCAGACCCAAACGCATAGTGAGGGTCTGCTGGGAACGCCTGGCAGAAGAACCTGTCAAGACGGTCTTCAACTCCCACCTCCGGCAGAGCTTTGACCACGTCCCGAGAGCAGTGGGGGACATTGAGTCCGGGTGGGCCTTGTTCCACTCTGCGATTGTCGAGGCGGCTGTTGCTAGCTGTGGTCGTAAGGTGGCCGGTGCCAGTCGTGGTGGCAACCCCCGTACCCGCTGGTGGACACCAGAGGTTCGGGGAGCCGTCAGGCTGAAGAAGGAGGCCTACAGGGCGTGGCTGGTCTGTGGGTCTCCGGAGGCAGCAGACAGGTACCGGATAGCCAAGCGGGGTGCAGCAGTGGCAGTTGCCGAGGCAAAATCTCGGGCGTGGGAGGAGTTTGGTGAGGCCATGGAGAAAGACTATCGATCGGCTCCAAAGAGGTTCTGGCAAACTGTCCGGCGCCTCAGGAGAGGAAGGCAGCAACTCGCTCACACTGTTTACAGTGGGGATGGGGAGCTGCTGACGTCAACTGAGGCTATAGTCGGACGGTGGAAGGAATACTTTGAGGAGCTCCTCAATCCCACCAATGCGCATTCCGAGGAGGAACCAGAGCTGGGAGGCCTGGGGATGGACTGTCCGATCTCGGGGGCAGAAGTTGCTGAGGTAGTCAAACAACTACACAGCGGCGGAGCCCCGGGGGCGGATGAGGTTCGTCCTGGGTATCTCAAGGCTATGGATGTTGTAGGGCTGTCATGGTTGACACGTCTCTACAACATTGCGTGGTCATCGGGGGCAGTTCCTAGGGAGTGGCAGACCGGGGTGGTGGTCCCCATCTTTAAGAAGGGTGACCTGAGGGTGTGTTCCAACTATAGGGGGATCACACTCCTCAGCCTCCCTGGAAAGGTCTACTCCAAGGTACTGGAGAGGAGGGTCCGATCGATAGTTGAATCTCAGATAGAGGAGGAGCAATGTGGTTTTCGTCCTGGCCGTGGAACTGTGGACCAGCTCTATACCCTTGCAAGGGTGATGGAGGGGGCATGGGAGTTTGCCCAACCAATCCACATGTGCTTTGTGGATTTGGAGAAGGCTTATGACCGTGTCCCCAGGGGCACCCTGTGGGGGACGCTCCAGGAGTATGGGGTGGGTGGCTTTCTGTTAAGGGCCATTCAGTCCCTTTACCAGAGGAGCGTGAGTTTGGTCCGCATAGCCGGTAGTAAGTCGGACCTGTTCACAGTGAGGGTTGGACTCCGCCAGGGCTGCCCTTTGTCACCGGTTCTGTTCATCACTTTTATGGACAGAATTTCTAGACGCAGCCGTGGTGTGGAGTGTGTCGAGTTTGGTGGCAGGAGAATCTCGTCTCTGCTTTTTGCGGATGATGTGGTCCTCCTAGCTTCATCCAGCTCAGACCTTCAGCTCTTGCTGTGTAGGTTCGCGGCCGAATGTGAAGCGGCTGGGATGAGGATCAGCACCTCCAAATCTGAGACCATGGTTCTCGACCGGAAAAGGGTGGCTTGCCACCTCCGGGTCGGGGGAGAGGTCCTACCTCAAGTGGAGGAGTTTAAGTATCTCGGGGTCTTGTTCACGAGTGAGGGTAGGAGGGATCGGGAGATCGACAGGCGGATTGGTTCGGCGTCTGCAGTGATGCGGACGCTGAGCCGATCTGTCGTGGGGAAGAGGGAGCTGAGCCAGAAAGCCAGGCTCTCGATTTACTGGTCGATCTACGTCCCAATCCTCACCTATGGTCATGAGCTTTGGGTAATGACCGAAAGAACGAGATCGCGGATACAAGCGGCCGAAATGAGTTTCCTCCGTAGGGTGGCCGGGCTCAGCCTTAGAGATAGGGTGAGGAGCTCGGACATTCGGGAGGGACTCGGAGTAGAACCGCTGCTCCTCCGGATCGAAAGGAGCCAGTTGAGGTGGTTTGGACATCTGGTCAGGATGCCTCCTGGACGCCTCCCCGGGGAGGTGTTTCGGGCATGTCCTGCCGGCAGAAGGCCCCCGGGTCGACCCAGGACACGTTGGAGAGGTTACATCTCCAATCTGGTCCGGGAACGCCTTGGGGTCCTGCCGGAGGAGCTGGTGGACAAGGCCGGGGAGAGGACGGCCTGGAGCTCCCTAGTTGGGATGCTGCCCCCGCGACCCGGACCCGGATAAGCGGAGGAAGACGACGACGACGACGACACGTGTTGTTATAACAGTTATACCGTACACACGTGTTGTTTTAACAGTTATACCGTACACACGTGTTGTTATAACAGTTATAGCGTTACACACGTGTTGTTATAACAGTTATATCGTACACACGTGTTGTTATAACAGTTATACCGTACACACGTGTTGTTATAACAGTTATAGCGTACACACGTGTTGTTATAACAGTTATACCGTACACACGTGTTGTTATAACAGTTATACCGTACACACGTGTTGTTTTAACAGTTATACCGTACACACGTGTTGTTATAACAGTTATACCGTACACACGTGTTGTTATAACAGTTATACCATACACACGTGTTGTTATAACAGTTATAGCGTACACACGTGTTGTTATAACAGTTATATCGTACACACGTGTTGTTATAACAGTTATAGCGTACACACGTGTTGTTATAACAGTTATATCGTACACACGTGTTGTTATAACAGTTATAGCGTACACACGTGTTGTTATAACAGTTATAGCGTACACACGTGTTGTTATAACAGTTATATCGTACGCACGTGTTGTTATAACAGTTATAGCGTACACACGTGTTGTTATAACAGTTATATCGTACACACGTGTTGTTATAACAGTTATAGCGTACACACGTGTTGTTATAACAGTTATAGCGTACACACGTGTTGTTATAACAGTTATACCGTACACACGTGTTGTTATAACAGTTATACCGTACACACGTGTTGTTTTAACAGTTATACCGTACACACGTGTTGTTATAACAGTTATACCGTACACACGTGTTGTTATAACAGTTATACCGTACACACGTGTTGTTATAACAGTTATACCATACACACGTGTTGTTATAACAGTTATAGCGTACACACGTGTTGTTATAACAGTTATACCGTACACACGTGTTGTTATAACAGTTATAGCGTACACACGTGTTGTTATAACAGTTATATCGTACACACGTGTTGTTATAACAGTTATACCGTACACACGTGTTGTTTTAACAGTTATACCGTACAGACGTGTTGTTATAACAGTTATACCGTACACACGTGTTGTTATAACAGTTATACCGTACACACGTGTTGTTATAACAGTTATACCGTACACACGTGTTGTTATAACAGTTATACCGTACACACGTGTTGTTATAACAGTTATAGCGTACACACGTGTTGTTATAACAGTTATATCGTACACACGTGTTGTTATAACAGTTATACCGTACACACGTGTTGTTATAACAGTTATAGCGTACACACGTGTTGTTATAACAGTTATACCGTACACACGTGTTGTTTTAACAGTTATACCGTACACACGTGTTGTTATAACAGTTATACCGTACACACGTGTTGTTATAACAGTTATACCGTACACACGTGTTGTTATAACAGTTATATCATACACACGTGTTGTTATAACAGTTATATCGTACACACGTGTTGTTTTAACAGTTATACCGTACACACGTGTTGTTATAACAGTTATACCGTACACACGTGTTGTTAAAACAGTTATACCGTACACACGTGTTGTTATAACAGTTATACCGTACACACGTGTTGTTATAACAGTTATATCGTACACATGTGGAGCGGATCAAAGGTCAAATTTACGTCTAAAACTTCACCAGAAAGTAACTTTTACTTTGCAGACACAAACACCACATCTGTCTGGCCTCCACACCAGAGCACTCTGCTCCAGATTTTCTCACCGTACGAAGAAGACATCTTCAGCCGAGGTCTCATGCAGAAGCGAGACTCCTGCACGTTCACTCCGAATCAACTTCATCCTCCTTCGGTCATAAATGACTTCACAACTTATAGGTAGAAATATTGAAATGTGTTGAATGAACTAGATGTTTAAATCCTAAAGTGTTTTAATGTGTGTTTTAACCAATGATGTTAAATTGAATGTATTTCCTGTAATGATCCATCTCAGATGTTAAACTACACCAGAGCAGTGTTTTTTGGTTTAACCTGTTAATCTACCAGTACACTCACACACATTTTAATAAGATAATTACTAATGTTTAACATTTTGCTTCACATAGTTATTAAAACCTCTCCTAGTATCTGAGGGAAGGGGTGAATTCTCAGGCGTTTGGGTAACACCTTCAAACGTGTCAGATCCTGATTTGTACAAGTTCATAAATATGGAAGGTGATGCAAACAGGAGTTACTTCCAGATCTAATCCGGTATCCGGCTGCCTCCTGGGTCGGCCAAACCGATGAACTGGCATTAGAGACCATCCTATCTTCTGACTTGAAGGTCAGAGCCTCTCAGCAACGCTGCGAGTGATTCCAGACACGGCTCTTAAGAGCCACCAACACCTCAGTCAGACGTCTAACCTGCAGGCCCTGGTGCATCTCATGACTCACTACTCGGGCCGCCTTTCCTCTGGACCGCCGGGAGCGACACACACAAGGGTATCGTAGACTCTGCACATTGGCGTTGGATGGCTTTATAAATAAAGTTTAGCTTATCAAACCACACAGCCTAACTGACGTTACAACCCAGACTCCAAACTCTCTTCATCCACTACATCCATCATCATTCACACCTTGTCTTGTATAATTATTAGTTTAGGGGAAAGAAATAAATGCTTTTTATAAACTTTATACTGACTCTGTCTGGCTTAATATGAAGTGTGTTTTTGGTCCCTGAACAAGTAAAAGAAACTAGAATCTTCTGATTAAACATTCACAGACCAATCAGATCGATATTACGTATTTATATGGAATCATCACATCTGATTGGTCATTTTATGCAGATGTGGCCCCTCCTCAACGCTACACATGGTTTATTAACAAGGATGAGTGGTAGTTTCTGCTGCTCTATCATATATGAAGTGTTTTTTAAATACCTGCCATAGATCTCACGCACCTGTTGAAAGAACATTGTTTCATTATTCTGATTCTCATTGTTTGATTGATTTTTAGTGATTGAGCCTTTGTTCTATAGCTTTTGACACCAAGCTCTGGACAAGAGTCACGCATGTCCCCACAGCAAATCCACTGTGGTTAAAAATGCTAAAACGCGTGTCCGGTATCAGAGCTACACGTGTGAAGCTCGACCTATCCAAGATGGCGGCGCCACTGCTAGTCAGCGCCCATAGGCTGCAGCGGTCACGCGGCATCTATCTATGTCTATGGATGGCTGCTTATACTGAGCCAAGATCCTCTGGAGGTTTCTTCCTGTTAAAAAGGAGTTTTCCTCTCCACTGTTGCTGCATGCTTGCTTAGTACGAGGATTGCTGTAAAGACTCTGACACTAGTCAGTGACTCGATGCGGCCTGCTGGGCTCCTTACATAGAAAACAGTGGTTTTTCTCACCGATGAGTGGGACGCTCTCGGAGGGGGGCATGCTCTCCGCCACCAGCAGCTGGAACACAGTGAGAGCAAGAAGAACCGTCACTCCGAGAGAAACCTTTTCACCTGAGTCAGCCGGCAGGTAGAAGCCCAGCGGAGCCAGAAAGGAGATCATCATGCAGGGGAGGAGGAGGTTGAAGATGTAGAAGGATGCCCGTCTCTTCAGGTGAAGGGTGAAGGTGATGTCCGGGTACGGCTCCGAACAGCAGCCGTACAAGATGACGTTCCTCTTGGACGGCATGCCAAGAACCTGCTTCCACAAGGATTTAAACGATTAGAGTTGGACTCGGGAGGGAGGACTTGTTCAAAAGATTAGCTCTCACCTCCCACTCCACGTTAGGAACAAAGTCGGCCAGATCTGCACTGTCCAAAGAATTGATGAGGTCCATCTGGTTCCCGTTGTGAGTCCAAGAGCCAAAGGTCAGGTGACATTGTTGCACATCAAAGGGGAAGAAGGCCACGTCTACAGAGCAGGAGCTTTTGGTTATGGCCGGCTGGTCCCATGTGACCTGTCCATCACTACGGAGGACCACGTTGGTCTCCATGGAGCTGGAGAACTGATCATCAGCGCTGTGAAGCATGAGGAGGAGCATTGTTGGTCCCAGAAAGCCCGAGCTGACCGGTCTGGAAGTGTGGCGTACCTGTTGTACAGGACGATGTCCGGCCTCCAGACGTAGCTGCTGGGGATCCGGATGGTGTCCAGCCCATCATAGTCCTCCTTCTTCCACGTCAGGTAGGCGTCCATCCACACCTGGCGGATCCACAAGTAGGTGGTCAAGATCTGGTTCCGCTCATCCTTGAGAAACAAAACACATCATCATCATCAGAGCGTTCCCACCATCAGAATGTGCACCACCAGGGTCCAGCACCATGTCGATGATCTGAGAGAGGGTGATCTGCAACGTCACGTTGATGATGTGGTTGGTGTCCTCCACCGGCCGCAGGGCGTTGGTGTAGCTGGAGAACAGGTCAGTCAGCAGCTTCTGGGCAACACGGCCGTGAGCCGAGGAGCAAACTAGAGAAGAAACGGGAGTCAGACCAACCACTGGAACCGAGCCGGTTCTGGTCCTGGTCCTGGTTCTGACCTAAGTTCTGGTTCTAGTTCTGGTTCAGGTCCTAGCCCTGGCCCTGGTCCTGGTTCTGACCTAAGTTCTGGTTCTAGTTCTGGTTCAGGTCCTAACCCTGGCCCTGGTCCTGGTTCTGACCTAAGTTCTGGCTCAGGTCCTAACCCTGGCCCTGGTCCTGGTTCTGACCTAAGTTCTGGTTCTAGTTCTGGTTCAGGTCCTAGCCCTGGCCCTGGTCCTGGTTCTGACCTAAGTTCTGGTTCTAGTTCTGGTTCAGGTCCTAACCCTGGCCCTGGTCCTGGTTCTGACCTAAGTTCTGGCTCAGGTCCTAACCCTGGCCCTGGTCCTGGTTCTGACCTAAGTTCTGGTTCTAGTTCTGGTCCTGGCCCAGGTCCTGGTTCTGACCCTGTTCCTAGTCCTGGTTCTGGTCCTGGTTCTGACCTAAGTTCTGGTTCTAGTTCTGGTCCTGGCCCAGGTCCTGGTTCTGACCCTGTTCCTAGTCCTGGTTCTGGTCCTGGTTCTGACCTAAGTTCTGGTTCATGTTCTGACCCTGGTTCTGGTCCTGGCCCAGGTCCTGGTTCTGGTTCTGACCCTGGTTCTGGTCCTGGTTCTGACCTAAGTTCTGGTTCTAGTTCTGGTTCAGGTCCTAGCCCTGGCCCTGGTCCTGGTTCTGACCTAAGTTCTGGTTCTAGTTCTGGTTCAGGTCCTAACCCTGGCCCTGGTCCTGGTTCTGACCTAAGTTCTGGTTCTAGTTCTGGTTCAGGTCCTAACCCTGGCCCTGGTCCTGGTTCTGACCTAAGTTCTGGCTCAGGTCCTAACCCTGGCCCTGGTCCTGGTTCTGACCTAAGTTCTGGTTCTAGTTCTGGTCCTGGCCCAGGTCCTGGTTCTGACCCTGTTCCTAGTCCTGGTTCTGGTCCTGGTTCTGACCTAAGTTCTGGTTCAGGTTCTGACCCTGGTTCTGGTCCTGGCCCAGGTCCTGATTCTGGTTCTGACCCTGGTCCTGATCTAAGTTCTGGTCCTGGTTCAGGTCCTAACCCTGGCCCTGGCTGGTTCTGACCTAAGTTCTGGTTCTGGTTCTGACCCTGGTTCTGGTCCTTGTTCTGACCCTGTTCCTAGTCCTGGTTCTGGTCCTGGTTCTGACCTAAGTTCTGGTTCTGGTTCTGACCCTGGTTCTGGTCCTTGTTCTGATCCTGTTCCTAGTCCTGGTTCTGGTCCTGGTTCTGACCTAAGTTCTGGTTCTGGTTCTGACCCTGGTTCTGGTCCTGGTTCTGACCCTGTTCCTAGTCCTGGTTCTGGTCCTGGTTCTGACCCTGTTCCTAGTCCTGGTTCTGGTCCTGGTTCTGACCTAAGTTCTGGTTCTAGTTCTGGTCCTGGCCCAGGTCCTGGTCCTGGTTCTGACCTAAGTTCTGGTTCTGGTTCTGACCCTGGTTCTGGTCCTGGCCCAGGTCCTGGTCCTGGTTCTGACCTAAGTTCTGGTCCTGGTTCTGACCTAAGTTCTGGTTCTGGTACTGACCCTGGCCCAGGTCCTGGTCCTGGTTCTGACCTAAGTTCTGGTCCTGGTTCTGACCTAAGTTCTGGTTCTGGTACTGACCCTGGCCCAGGTCTTGGTCCTGGTTCTGACCCTGTTCCTAGTCCTGGTTCTGGTCCTGGTTCTGACCTAAGTTCTGGTCCTGGCCCAGGTTCTGACCCAGGTCCTGGTCCAGCCTGATGAACTAAAAGGAAGCAGCGCTGGCGAGCTCCTCCAGATGGAAGCAGGCTGAGACCCGTGACCTTTGACCCCAGCGAGGATGGTTTGTACAAACATGGGAAGGTGTGACTGCATTCCTGATGAGAAGCAAACAGAACGACCCGGTTCTGTTATCAGGTCTCTAACTGGACCTGGCTGTCTACTCCATCTGAGATGAAGAAACCCATAAAGAAGATTAAGTTTACAACTTAATAAATTCTAGTTTATCGTTCTGGCTTCAGCCGTAAATCCTTCAGATTACAGCGGCTCCTCGTGAGTCCAAGGCAACGCGCTGGAAGGTTCTGGTTCTGGTCCAGATTTACAGTCAAGCTGACTCGCTGCTATCCAGCTGCAGAAGAGTCCAAACACAGAAGACATCTGGATCACTGGCCCAGCCGGAGTCCTGCCCTCGTCTCCGTGTCCATCAGAACCAGAGCACGCCCAGACCGGGTCGGTGCTGTCAAGTCCCTGATTCTGGACCTGGACTCAGGGACAGACTCAGACCTGGTTCTGTCTTCATACCCCTCCCCCTCCCACACACACACACACACACACACACACACACACACACACACACACACACACACACACACACACACACACACACACACACAGAGATTTGCTTAACCAGAAGAACAAAACCTCTGGTTCTGGTTCTGGTTCTGGTTAAGGTTCTTACCTGGGATGAAGAGGAGGAACAGCGTGACGATCTTCATCCTGATGGAGCCCACAGAGGCGCTGAGTGATGCACCTGCAGCCGTGTGGCGAGGACGGAGCAGGCTGAGAGTGAGGATCATGAGGATGAAGGAGAGGAGGAGTGTGTGTGTGTTTGTGTGTGTGTGTGTGTGTGGGGGGGGGGGGGGGGGGGTGATCACACTGGTTCAGCACCATGTTAGGAGAAAACTCCCCACAGCTGCAGATGTGCAGCTGGTTCTGGACCGGACTGGAGAGCATGTCTCTGTCCTCGCCCTCTTGTCCGTCTCTGGGACCGTCTGACTGGTGGACAGAGTAAGAGCGGTGAGGGGACAGTCCCCTGTGGGGGACAGGGACAGGGGCCGGGAGAGAGGGGACATCCGACAGGTGCTGATGGTCATGGTGACTCACAGGTGTCCCCATCAGCTGCAGACGAGCACGCTGCTGAATGTCAAAGATCTCAGTCCACTTTAGCTTCTGGCTGACCCCCACCCACAAAGTCAGGCTGCACCGCATTGCCATGGTAACGAGTCTGGAGATACTGAGGAACAGCACACACACAAGCTCTGTGTGTGTGTGTGTGTGTGTGTGTGTGTGTGTGTGTGTGTGTGTGTGTGTGTGTGTGTGTGTGTGTGTGTGTGTGTGTGTGTCTATCGCCCCCTGTGGCCAGAATGTCCCACCTGCAGCTCCAGACTGGCGGGCTGCTCTGTTGGGCCTTTTGAGCTGACATAGGAATAGGAACCCATCCAAGATGGCAGAACGCGGTTACATCAGCGCCAAGCGTGAGTCCACGGGGTGTCTACGTGGTTCAGGGGTGACCAGGTCGCAGGCCAAACTCAACATTTATTGAAAAGTGTATGGCAAGCCCAAAAATAGTCATTCTCTTCAGTGAAAAAGGAATAACTCACCTATTAACTCTCGTTTCATAGAGCAGAAAAAGTTCAACCCTAAAACCTCAATAACTCAAGCTCACTTTGCTCCACTCTGAGTTCGAGTCCCACAGTCATCATCGTCATCATCACACTGCTGAGACTACATCTCCACACCTGGCCATCCCCGTAGGAGCGGAGAGCTGCAGCGCTGCCTATGCTCAGGAACCATTTGGTGGTTTAACCCCCAACCCCTTAAAGCTGAGTGTGGAGTAGGGAGGTCCCAAGGCTTTGGTATGATCCCACTGAGATGTGAACTGTTCTCCTAGACCCAGGGTGGACACTCCACCACGAGGCCACTGAGAAGGTTACTCTGATGCTCACCTTTTCCAGCCAAACACCTGCATCTGCGAGGACGGGCTCTGAGCTGAGGAAGGAGTCCATCAGTGAGACTCCTGTGTTGTTCTGTTCTTCTTCAGAGACGACAGGTGCTCACATAGATAAGTGCTGCTGAGCATGGAGAACATCTGAGCATGGAGAACATCTGAGCATGGAGAACATCTGAGCATGGAGAACATCTGAGCATCTGGGGCTGGAGTTGGGTCGGTGTGACTAGCTGCAGCAGCTACAGAGTCACAGCGACTGGAGCGTGTCGCTACGCCGGAGTTCAGTCAGCACCATCTGGAGGTTGGTCGGTGAGTTTTCTGTGGCGGTCGTGAACGGGTCACTGAGCTGTTGGGATCTCCATTTCTGGGCTCTAAAGTTGGCAAATCTCAGAGTGAGCTCAGCCTGAGCCGAGTGTTTGTTTGTTTGTCCACGACTGAAGAGCTGCAGCTGCAGACACTGGCAGCACGATGAGGGCCTGGTTCAAGATGAGCAGCACAAACGACGAGAGCAGATGGACGCAGCAGGGGGCGTGGCTAAAAGCTGGTGTACATGTAGCCGGCAGGTGACGACATCGTGTTAGCATTCTATTCGGATGCCTGTTAGCAACTGAAGCACATCCTCGCACTGCGATTGGCCATTTAAGAAAGCTGCAACATGGCTTTGTTAATGTAGTTTCATTTCCTGTGATTTTTATTTTCGTTGATTTTTCAATATCATAGAATAACTTTTTTAACATACTTCCAAGTTTTGTTATTACATTTCTGTTCACCTCATTTAAATTCGCCAATTTTCAACTCAGGAAGTTTAATCACCACATTTGAATTAAGGAAGGTATTTTTAATCATGAATTTTAAGGGAAGTGGAATAGCTCTACTGATTTGATTAAACTCTCTAACAGAGCATTTAAAATTAAATTTTTCGACAAAACATTCAAATTGTAACAAATTGCCATTTTTATCCATCAAATCTGTCACATATAAAATCTTTTTGTCATACCATTCTTTTTTGAATATAGTCTTCCTAATAATTCCACAAGGTGGAGCTGTGCGGTGTAAAGTTGTGGCTGAATATCATTTCCAGTAGAGCAGTATTTGTTTATGGAAGTCAGATAGTTTGATTGGTAATTTAGATATTTCAAAGTCACATTTTAATAATAATAATAATAATACATTTTATTTCAAAGCGCCTTTCAGGACACCCAAGGTCACTTTACACAAAACACGTAATAAAATACAATAAAACAATAATAAAACCCAAAGAAGAAAAAACAGAGAGAAACATTTCAATAAAATCAGAGGTTGTAGGCAGATTTAAACATATGTGTTTTGAGTTTTGATTGGAAAAGGGTAAAACTGTCGACGTTCCTGATGTCTGGGGGAAGTGAGTTCCAGAGTCGAGGAGCAGAGCGGCTGAAAGCTCTGCTCCCCATGGTAGCGAGACGGGCAGAAGGAACCGCAAGATGGATGGAAGAAGAAGATCTGAGTGAACGGGACGGGGTGTGAATACTTATAAGGTCTGAGATATATGGAGGAGAGAGGTTGTGGATTGCTTTGAAGGTATGGAGGAGAATTTTGAAGATGGGCCTGAATTTAACTGGGAGCCAGTGAAGCTGCTGGAGAACCGGCGTGATGTGGTGAAAGGAAGGGGTTCTGGTGATAATACGGGCTGCTGAATTCTGGACCAGTTGCAGTTTATGAAGGAGTTTGTTGGGAAGACCATAAAGAAGTGAATTGCAATAGTCGAGACGGGAGGTGACGAGGCTGTGGACGAGAATGGCGGCAGTGTGAGGGGTCAGTGAGGGACGAAGACGGTTTATGGAACGTAGATGGAAGTATGCTGACCGAATTAAGTTATTAATGTGAGCCTGAAAAGAAAGGGAGCTGTCGAGAATGACACCCAGACTCTTGACATGAGGTGAGGGGGAGACTGTGGCACTGTCAATAGTTAAAGAAAAGCTGTCAGATGTTGAGAGCGTGGAGTTAGTGCCAACAAGAAGAAGTTCAGTTTTATTGCCGTTGAGTTTGAGGAAATTAGAGGTGAACCATGATTTGATTTCAGAGAGGCAGAGTGTAAGGGAGGATGGTGGGAGAGTTGAGTTGGGCTTACTGGAAATGTAGAGCTGGGTGTCATCTGCAAAGCAGTGAAACTGGATATTGAATTTGCGGAAGATTTTGCCGATAGGGAGGAGATATACTATGAAGAGGAGGGGCCCCAGGACAGAGCCCTGGGGCACACCTGACTTGACTGGGGAGGGTTCTGAGGTAAAGGATTTTAACTGGATGAACTGAGTGCGGCCAGTAAGGTAAGATTGAAACCAGCGGAGGGGGGTGTGAGTGATGCCTAAGGAATAGAGTCTATTAAGGAGGATGGGATGAGAAATGGTGTCAAAGGCCGCACTCAGATCGAGGAGAATAAGAATAGAGATTAAACCAGAATCAGCAGCAATGAGTAGGTCGTTAGTGATCTTGATGAGAGCTGTTTCTGTGCTGTGGTGGGGACGGAAGCCAGACTGAAACTGTTCATAAAGGTTATTGCGGGTGAGATGTGAATGGAGCTGAGATGCAACAGTTTTCTCAAGGACTTTGGAAATGAAGGGAAGATGGGAAATGGGACGGAGGTTATTGAAATCATTGGGATCTAAACCAGGTTTTTTTAGAATAGGGCTGACTGAAGCGGATTTGAATAGGGATGGGACCTTACCAGAGGATAGTGAGGAATGAATAATGGCTGTTATAAAAGGGAGCAGAGAAGAAAGGCAGGATTTAACTAAAACAGTTGGAATAGGGTCCAGTTGACAGGTGGAAGGTTTGGATTTGGTGATGTAATCTAATATTTCTGAGGGATGGGGAAGTTCAAAGGAGGAGAACGGAATGGTGGGTTCAAATAAATCAGGAGAGGGAGGGGAGGAATGAGGTAAAGAGAGATGGATTCTATTGACCTTCTCATTAAAAAACTGAAGGAGAGAGTTACAGGTTTCTGAAGAGTAAAGATGGATGGGTAAGGAGTCGGGAGGCTGAAAAATGCTGTTCATGATGGAAAATAATGTTTTAGTGTTGCTGGAGTTGGACGAGATGAGACCGGAGTAATACTGAGATTTGGCATGGGAGATGGAGTCCTTGTAGAGAGAAATCTGAGCAGAATATAAGTCTTTATGGATGGTGAGACCGGTTTTCTTGTAGAGTCTTTCAAGCCTCCGGTTGGTAGCTTTCAAGGAGCGAAGGGCAGGGGTGAACCATGGAGCAGACCGAGTAAAATATACAGAGCGGGATTTGATGGGAGCAAATGAATTAAGGATAGAAACCAGACCGTTATTGTACTGAATGACAAGATCATCGGGAGTAGAGGACAAATTAGGGGTCAAGGTGGCAAAACTGGAGGACAGGGAGGCTAGATCAATGTCCTTAATATTACGAAAAGAAATGATACGTGGTGACTTGATGATGGAGAGACGGAGGGGAACAGAAAAGGAGATGAGGAAGTGGTCCGTGAAAGGGAGCGGGTCAGCTGTACAGTTGGAGGGGGTCAGGCCGGAGCAGCAGATTAAATCCAGGGTGTGACCTTTAATGTGAGTGGGAAAATTGGCATATTGATGAAAACTGAGGCTGTCCAAAGATGAGGAGAAGTCTTTGCTGAGGGGGAGGGCCATATTGTCCATATGAATATTAAAATCACCAAGTAAAATTACATTTGGGGAAAGGGCGGACAGATGGGATAAAAGAGCAGAGTTCATTTAAAAACTCAGGGCTGAACTTGGGGGGACGATAAACAGTGACAATTATTGTGGGGGTCGGGCCGGAGAGTTGACAGGCGAGGCATTCCAGAGTGGTGAGAGGAGGAAGGTTTACGGGAAGGACCTTCCAAGTCTCGCGATACAGTATCGCGAGACCACCGCCGCGGCCCGACCCACGGGGTTTGGAGAGGTAAACAAATCCGGGAGGAGTACAGTCATTGAGTTGTGAGAAATCGCTGGGTTGTTGCCATGTTTCGTTCAGACAAAGAAAGTCTAGCTTATGGTCACTGATGGTATCTTGGAGGAGATGTCCTTTACCAGAGAGGGAGCGAATGTTGAGAAGACCAAAATTAGCAGTGCGGAAGTCCCTGGCGACAGGAGCATTAGTCCGACTAGCCAGCCGGGCTAACACGCTGGAGTCGGCAGCTCGGCAGGTATTCCTGGGTAGCCGCCGGCTAGTCGTGGACCAGAAGGAGGGTATTCCTTTGGAGCCGTCGAGATGGAGGTTCCGCCGGGACCCCCGATGGATATACCGACGGCGAGGCTGGAAGGTGATGTCGGGGAAGAGGCACAGAGCTGGTGGTGGAGATCCGGAGTAGCGAAAGCGGAGGTTGAAGAGCTCCGCCGCCGAGTACTGGAGAAGGCCATCCACGGACAGAAGAATGAGCGACAGGATGATCCAGGCCAGTGCGAGGCACACAGAAATCCTGCTGGACCACATTATGGAGTGGAGCAGGGAGGTGGTGATGTGCAACCAGAACGCAAGCTGAGCAGGTAGGTGAAAATGAGTTTTCACCGACACAGGGATGTGACCAGGGTGAAAAAGAAGAAAAAAAAATACAAAAAGTTTGTTTGCCAGCGAGCAGCGGCAGCGAGACGCGCCAGCGTTCACTCAACCGGAACCGGAAGTTTAACAGGATTTTAACAGGAATTCTAATCCTCCAACCTTTTGGAAAATATATTTTGGTACGTGGAACCATATAGAATGTGGTTGTATTAAAAAAGCTTTTATCCAGTTTAGCTTAAGTACACCAATCATGGCTTCAGAATCAGCAGCCTTTAGTCCACCATGTTCGTAGTCTTTTACCATCACAGACTTTTTAAGGTAGTGTGTCTTGTTCTTCCGTATAAAATTAAAAATGGTCGAGTTAACTTCTTTTATTATTTGGGGGCGTTATAACAACACTAGGGGCAACTGGAATGAAACTGGAACCGTTACACAGGAGATAGGTGTAGGAGACTATTTTCATGTTCTGCCTGCATGACATGCGTTTTTTAAAGAATAATTTCACTTGAGTGATTTTTTTTTTGTGTTTTGTTTTTATTGTTTTTCTCTCTAGTAATGAACACCTTTTCTTCTGGAACCGGTCCGGTTCCGACAAGGAAAAAAAAAACTAGATTATTTAGCGACATGCTCCTTCCTGCTGATTGGCTTAGCGTCATGTCACTCTGGGTACATCCAACCAATAGCTGCGCGTTAAATACAATCCAAAACAGCAGCCGCCATGTTGTGTCAGCAGCGCTGGATACGTCATTTGGAATCGTAGGATGTCTAAGGAAGATCCCGCCTTTCTGGCCTCTGATTGGCTAGAAGGACTCTACCACAATTGGCTATGGGCAGTCTGTCCTGCCGCCAACAGAACAGCTGTTTTGGCGAGTTTTGTAAAGGAATGTCAACTTAGCACCATTCTGTCTAGTTTTGTAAAATATTGTTTTATGTTTCTTTTATTTAAAATACTGAAAAACGTAAAATGTGAACTTATTTGTCACACTGTTGACTCCTTTTATACCTCTCGACTCTCAAGCATTGAGAGGATCTTATTAAAATCAGAGTACACAGGATAAACACGTGAGCCTTACCTGGTAGGAAGCATAATAAAACTGCCCTATGTGGCCCAGCTGTGTGCAGCAGGTCTGTCTCTCCTCTGGAATAATGAAAACAGCTTAAAAAAGGTCTAAATCAGAATCAGCTTTCAATTACACAGATGAGAGATGTGCTTAACTTGTAAACAGTGTGATAAAATGCAACAGGTTGTATTACAAGCTCACATTTAACGTGTTTCCGGTTCCTTTAATCGGAACTTGGACTGATGCAAAAGAGGACAGAATGGTTATTTATAGCGCTAAGCTGACGAAGGCCATGATTGAGTTGAGCAGCGCCTCGCCTGGAAAACAGACGGGAGCAGACGGAAGCAGCAGGGGGAGCGGCTGAAAGCCGGTGTTTAAGTGAGACACAATTTCCTACATGTGTAGCTCACGGGTGACGATGGCTGAAGATATCGCGTTAGCGTTCACGCTTGTTTAATTTTCCATTTTAATTGTGGTGCCTGTTAGCAGCTGAAACACATCCTCACGTGCTTGTGGACATCATATATTGTATATGGAGATCTGAGTGTAATAATAAGTAAAGGTTATCAGCTGTAGGTTTAGTGTGTTCATAGGAAACGTGGCAGAAGAACACAAAACACATTCCTCTTTATGGCCTATATAGTTGTCATCATCATCGTTACATGATTTACAGAATACATGTGACCAACTAACATTTCATGTTCTACCACCGGATGTTTGGATCAAAATGTGAACCAATCAGATCTTAGATCAGGTGAGAGCCAGGCTTTATCTTGAACACAGCCAATTTCTTTATGAATGGCTGCTCTAGATCTGGCGGCAAACTAGGCGGAATCGCAGGAGAGCACTTTCAGCCAATCAGAGGCAAGACAGGCGGGACCTTCCTTGGACGTTCTACGTTTCCAAATGTCTCGCCCCGGAGGGACGTCCGGTTGTAAATAGTAAATGACGGTACCACCTGCTCGGCCGCACAACAACCGGACCACAGCTGGAAGCTATGAGCCGTCCGTCGTCTGCCGGAGGCGGAGGACTCGGAGCCGGCAAAGCAGGCGGAGGAAAGCACGGAGGCTCGGGAGGAGCAGCCTCAGCCGCCGCTGCAGCGGCAGCCGTCGCCGGTGTGGGGACTATAGCCGGGTCGGGCTCTGTGTCGCTGCCCTCCGCCGTCCTTCCCGGGCAGCCCCCGGAGCTCACGGCGCTGTTCGAGTGTCCGGTGTGCTTCGACTACGTGCTGCCGCCCATCCTGCAGTGCCAGGCGGGGCACCTGGTCTGTAACCCGTGCCGCCAGAAGCTGAGCTGCTGCCCGACCTGCCGCGTTCCGCTGAGCCCGAGCATCCGGAACCTGGCCATGGAGAAGGTGGCCTCCACACTACCGTTCCCCTGCAAGGTAACCGACACCGGGACACACACTCACGCCGCTTCCCTCTGTGCGCGTGTGTCAGGTGACGTCATTTGGAATTATCCAACAGACGCAAAACCAACCGGGCTGGACTTCGTTAAAGAGACACCAGCTGTTTGTCTCGTGCCAACAAACGCACGGCTTTTCTTTGATCAGGAAACACTCAGAAGTTGCAGATGTAGAATGATGGAGGAGCCGGTGGGGGTAAAGACGTTTGGTCACGTGGTAAACAGCTGATACAGGTTAACGAATATTTCTGAGGTTAAAACGTCACCTCCAAATCCCCTCAGACTTAATCATCTGGGGTGATTTAAGACAACCTTAAATCATACATCTGATAGATTTCCTCCAAAAACAAACTCTCATAGATATTATTTATTCTACTTTATTCTATTTTTAATTATATTATTCATGTTATATGTACCACGTTAGTACCGAAGCAAGTTCCTATAGTTTGTGAATTGTTTGTTCACTGACAATGGCAATAAACCTTTTCTGATTCTGATTCTGATATTAGCAAAATGCACGTTTAATGGGCAGGGCCGGCTCTAGGTAATTTGGTGCCCAAGGCGAGACTACCCATGTACCCCCCCCCCCCCCCCCCCAAGTAACTTACTCACCTGGTTCTAGATGCTGAGATTGTAGCTCAGTAAATGTGCTGCTGCGTGATGCCTGGATAGAAGACGCTGCAGCGTAAACAAGAAAGAGACGCCATAAGATGTCATGCTGCGTTTAGGCAGTTCTCACTCCCCGTCGGGCCCGGCGGCAGCGGGGGAGCCCCCACCACGGCCGCGGCGGTGCCGCCCGCCCGATGTGAAGGACAAAGTTGAAATTCATATTGTATGCGTACTTAAAACTTGAAACAAAGTTCATAAAAAGGCTGCAATCATACTCCAAAAACCAGTAAAAAAATCTTACATTCTTCATCATCTTCACAGTGAGGCTCAACAGGTGTAGAAGACAGTCCCACCCCCCGTGGTGTCAACAGGTGCCTGTCGACAGGCTGCAGATATTGTCTCATTGCATCTGGACACGACGATTCAAAAGTAAAATTAACTGGTTAAAGTTATGAGATACTGTATTGTGTATGTAAACAGCTAGCAAGGGTCCGTCCATGGACCGTGCGTGGCAGGAGAGGCAGTTAGCTACAATGGTAACGCAAAAAGTTCCTTTGCCAAATGTATAAAGTCTACATGCCTCTGCTTTGGGCCCGTCTTTTTTTCTTCCTCCTTCCTTCGCTTTCGGAATGCTGATCCCAATGGCTTAGGTGTTCTTTTCATCATAAAATATATCAAAAGTTTAAACGCGGCGACAACAGGGTGTCCTACAGTGCTGCCCACGCGCGTGATCTACGGCACCCTTAACGGTCAAATGCATCGGAGCGGTGGCCCAAGCGGGAGCTCGTCATGCAGCCAGATCATTAGAATTTAAATATTGATGTTTTAATTTTATGTCATTTCAGAGGGGAATTTTGAGTATGTAGAGAGTGCATTTCATATTACAAACATAAATTTAATAAACTTTTTTTATTCATTTATTTTTTTAATTTTGCGCCCTATCCATCAGATGGCGCCCCAGGCGGCCGCCTGTGTCGCCTGTCGGCAAAGCCGGCCCTGTTAATGGGCTCGACACATGGGAGGCGACAAACGACCGCGATCAGCGAAATTCGTCGCTGTCGCTTTTATTACCTGACACACGGGAGGCGACCCGCGGCAGCGGCAAAGCCGTCTACGCGTTCTGTTCCATGGCGAAATCGAAACTTCCGTTGTTTTGTTTGGCTGGTTCAGGTTGGAGGGAATTAAGGTTATTTAAGCGGTTCAGAGTTAATAAAGCGGTAGATATGATGTTTCACAAGGTGCTGTTAGAGTTATGTGAAATTTTACTTGTGATTTTACTATAAAACATAATAATAATCAACTTCTCCTTCATGTTTACTCGGAGATGTACGGAGCATCCTGTCCGCTCATTGGTCAGTGAATGAAACCTCCGTTGATTGGTCCTCGCCCGAGCGACAGCGACGGAAAGTTGAAAATGTTTCAACTTTCTGGGATCGCGTCGCTGGGTCGCCTGTGCACGACACGTGCACGAGCGCAAAATTTCACACGCACGTTTTTCGCGTTTCGCTTGGTAGGAGGGAGACCCGCGATTATCGTTTTGACGCGTATGTCTCATTGAAAATGAAAGGAGGAGAGGCGATGTCGCCTCCCGTGTGTCGAGCCCATAAGAGTTGATCTGACAGATTTATGGAAACAAAGTAATCCTGATAAAGTAACTCCAGCTTTTCTCAGCTATCCAGTCTGAAATGGCACAAGTGTACAGCAGTGTTTCCCAGCCCTGGTCCTCAGGACACACTGACCTGCATGTTGTCTCTGCTCCAGCACACCTGGTTTACATCGACTCCTCAGGAGGACATCAAGCGCTGCAGATGCCTGTTGATCACTCCTTCATTTAAGTCAGGTGTGGTGCAGCAGGAAACACGCGTGTTTAAAGGTGCAACATGGAGAACATGCTGGACAGTGGTCCCTGAGGACCAGGGCTGGGAAACACTGGTGTAAAGGTTAAAAAAGCCACTATTGACCCTATAGTCTGATCAGATCACAAAGCTAGTTTATAAACTAAATCTTGTACTAAACAGTCAAAAACTACTGGAAATGAGATAAATGTCTTTTAGACGACGGACACGAGGCAGCAACATGACGGCAGAATTCTGGACACAGTCATGTGGACGTGGGAATGTGGGACTCAGCTGGGAACTAATGAAATTAGAAATCTGGCTATTCATATCGAACAAGCCAAAGCAAAGGTGGACCGGAAAAATAACTAGAAATGATCACAAGTGTTGTTTTCATCCCAGAAAAGGACTGAAATATGAAAATTACAGATGCAGTTACATTGTAGGAAGAAAAAGCTGAAGGTGCATTCGTAAGGTCAACACCAAAGTGGATGGAACAAGGAGAAAAAAGTCTAAATAGTTTTTCAGTTTAGGAAAAATAAGAAAAGAGCTAACTTATCATCAATAATAGATGGTCCTACAACTCTGGTGGAATTATATTGATCATCTAACCTTTCTCAGCCCCGGTCCTCAGCGCCCCTGTCCCGTCCTGCGTGTTGTCCATGTCTCTGCTTCGGTACACCTGATTAACATGTTGGAATAGCCTCCTCAGGAGGATATCACGCTCTGCAGAAGCCAGTTAACCAGTCGTTAGTTTGAGTCAGGTGTGTGTCAGCAGGAAACACTGGTGTTTGAAAGGGCGACATGTCGGACAGAGGACAAGAAATCTGGATCTAATCCGTGTAGAGGAAACATTCACACATCAGACTGTTTCTACTAACACAAGTAACCCTCCAGGGCTCCAGGATATGACGGACTCCTAGGGATGGGTACCGAATTCGGTACTTTTTAAGGCACCGACCGAATTCCATAGTACCGACCGAGCACCGATTCACGTCATTTCAAACGGTGCCTCGTTTCGGTACCCGTCCTTCATAACGAGAACTTGCCAAGACAGCTGCGCATGCGCAAGAGCGTTATGTCGTTGGTCGCTGCGAGCGAGTTGTAAACAGAGCAGCATGGTAGAGAGAACGCACGCTAAAGCTTGGGTCCACTTCACTAAATGTGATGGGTAACTGGGTGATGATGAAACCAGCGACAACTATCTAAGTGAGCCATCCTCATCTTAATCTGCTCCGGTAGGTAAATATAATTAGCTTGATATGTTAGCTTCCGTTTCGCTAATGGTGCGTTCGCTTTCTCCTCGGAACTCCGAATTTCTGACTGGAAGAACATGAATGCGCTCTAAAGTTTGGCTTCACTTTACTAAATGCGACGGGTGAAGACGAAACCAGTGATAACGATCTAAGTGTGAGGCATCATCGTTTTAATCTGTTCCAGCAGCTAAATAAACTGTTTAAGATAACGTTAGCTTGGTATGTTAGCTTCCATTGCTACCATTGTTATCAGCTAATGGTGCGTTCGCTTTCTCCTCGGAAATTCTAACTTCCCAATAGGAAAAATCAAATGAAAAAACACGGCAAAAGGAATGAAGATACATAGTAAATTTAGTTCACAGTAAAGATGTTTGCTTCAGTTTAATTATCAGCTTATAAAACTACAAGGATGATGTTAAAATACAAACAGTTGTATGTTATTTATCGTGATATTTATCAAATATTGTTATATACTGAGAAAAATATATATTTAATTATAAAAGAGAATTAAAATAATAAACACTCAAAAGTATCAAATTGGTACCGTTAAGTACCGGTATCGATTCGTAGGTACCGGGAATTAGTACCGGATCAATTCAAATGTCAAAGGTACCCATCCCTACGGACTCCTTACGAATTTTGTAAGTTTGTTATTAATTTATTAGCTCATTTATCCGTCTGTTGCTTGAAGAAGCATTAAACTAACAAGAACTACCAGCAACACTTAAACAGGAGGTCGCACTTCTACCTGAACCCAATAAAAACATGCGTAGACTATTTAATAGATGAGGAACGATCGGGCGTTATGCAGCATAAGTATCCACAATAACATCACACATGATGGATTATAGTTAGTGATGCACCGATATGAAATGTTTGGGCCGATACCGGTATTCTGACCCTTAATGCTTGTAAAATCAGCAGATTTTGTATAGAATGAAAATTATTAAAGCTGAATTTACATTATGTACACACACACACACGCGCGCGCACACACGCACATATTTACGGTTCTGAGATGAATTCAGGGGATTCAATCCGAGATGGAAAAAATATCAGTTGTTAAAATTGGCCCAGTTTTATTTATCGGACCGATATGTTAAAAAATGACTAACATCGGCCGATACCGATATTGATGCCGATATTTTGTCCATCCGTAATTATAATCACTTAATATTATTATCTGTTAGTAACTCTGGTTAGGTCCACTTATATATTTTTTTTCTAAGTTTATTTTCATTTATTCACAAAAAAAACCAAAATACAAAACAGGTTTGCGA